AGAAAAAATCTTATATGACCTACCCCCTTTAACTAAGACAAGATAAATTACAAAAAGTACAAAATAGCCTTATACACAAAAAATAAACCACTCTCTTTCTTCCACAAATAATATCAATACTAAAACATTAATCCTCCATCCTCAACTCACCAAATCATACGATTTTAGCATTTTATCTTTATACATTTTTTTAATTGATCAGTAGTTGTACATTTTTTAATTCATCATCCAGGTTATTCCATAATTTCACACCATATATTGAAATACACATTTGCTTTAATATAGTACAAACAAATATCCTTTTAAACTCTGGTTTCTTTCTACTCTTATCATTTTTTGGGATCAAAACAAAGAACCTTTGTAGATTAGTTGGCAGTAAATTATTTCTAGCCTTAAACATAATTAGTTAATTACATAATTAGTAAAATTTTCAAGTAAACTAAGTCTTTGAATTTCATAATTTTAGATAGAACAAAATATTTGTTAGTATGTTCTCTCGGATTTGCTCTGGAGTCTAATAACATATAAAAACTGCTATCAATCAAATAAGCACAGACAGGTATTTTAGTAAAGCTAGAAAACCGTAAGAGACTTTAACACCACAGAGATTTTGCTAGGAGCAATGAACATAACTGAACTACGGAAGCTCTGCATGGACAAGACGTCAAAAACTCTAAACACAAAAGACTTCAATAAACGGAACACCGTTCTTTCCTGCTAATACATTTCACAGTTGATGCTAATACCAATGTTCCTTCAAAGGATTGCAGCTTCAAACACGAAGTTTTGTCTTCACGTGTGAGTGTTTTTGTATATATAAACAAATAAACTTGTTGATGATGTGTAGATAAATATGTAGATATATAAACTTGTTTATATTCAGTACAAGTTACATAGGTTTTTTTGCTTCCGTTAGTTGAAAAAAATGAGAAAAGCCCCTTGAGAAAATAATCATGAATTGTCACAATTGCAATATTGAACAAAAAAATTGCAATTAGATTATTTTCCTAAATCGTTCAGCCCTAGATAAAACTTAATTTTATTTGGCCCTCGAATGCCAGATCTTTGATCTTCTCGGGTGGATAAGCGTTCATATTTCCAGATTTTTTCCACGATGTATTCTTCAATCTGTTCTGTGTCTGCCACTAAATATCTGTTTGCTTTTTGAAGTGGTAAAGATGGTGCTGTTGACAAATGAAAACAGGAATCAGCATCCAGACCAATCACAAGCTTGCGGCCTCCATCTCTTTCACCAGATACTTAAAACTGGGGGCACGTCTCTGTCTTCCTCCGCAAGCCCATCAAGGACTCTTGCGTCAAAGCATATTGGCATTGGGTGTGACCGTCCCGACGCAGACGGAAAAGTATAAATTAGGCTTTAATCTTTAAAAGGAAACTAGGCCGTTTTGTCTTGCTTTTAGCACCCTCTGGTGTCCGTCTGTAGAGCCAAAAACAAAACACCTCCTTGCTGTGTGTTCATCTTTTAACACCTTAATCTAACAGCTGGAATGTCTCCTCAGCCTTCATTAATGTCTACAGGAGTGATTCATCACTTAATTCAACAAATCAGCTGTGCTCATGATCCAAAACATGCAGGAAGCAGACTGCATATAAGTCCCAACAGAGCAGCCTGCCAGTCTGAAGTTGCAAGTGGGATATTCTGGCCATAGGCAGTGATAGGGGCCAGGCGGCCTTTCATTAACCCTGTAAAGGGTCATTTTTGCACATACTGGCTCAAGAAAATTATTTAGAATTATGAAAAAGTTCATTAAACACCCCATTATACATCACACAGCAGCTCTCCTGGTCCTCCGAATAGTGTAAATTGCTGTACTTCAACAGAATAAAACTTTTACTGCAGATGCTTTTTTGCACTGATCGGTGACATCATTCAATGTCAAAGCAGTCGCGATATGCTGACGTCTGTGCAAAGTCCTGTAAGGACTGAAATTGTATGGAGACAGCTGAGAGGACCGGGACATCTTGTCTCCCCGACAGTTTCCCCCTTGCAGAAATTACGCTGAAGATCCAACAATGGAAACACTCCTATTGTGACATCACAATAAGAGATTTTTTTTCTCATAGGAACATGCAATTTCTGATTAATGGTTGTTATTCACTTTGGAGTGTTTACAGATTCTGTAGTGACCATACGGCAACACAAAAGGATGCAAAAAGGGAGTTTTACACAATATGTCCCATTTAAATTTAATTAAATGAATCCATCTATAGGCCTTATGATTTGAGTGTGTTTCATAGTAAAGATGTCAAAGCAGCTGGAAGAGATCTAATCAGTAATTCTCCTAGTTTAGAGTCTGGATCTCATTTTTTCCCTGGAAAGAAGAAAAGCATCCAGGTTTAGTAGATTGGTGGAGGAGGATGGTGGTGGACAGGTCGCTGTCGGATGGACAGTCAACGCAGACAAGAGCCAGCACAACGGAAGTAGTTGAGGCTGGACGAGGGAGGAGCCCAGCAGGATATTAGGTTAGAAGGTCCAGCTTTAAGGTGGAGGAGGTGGTGGGGCCTGAGTGAGTGCAGGGGGGGGGAAGGGGGGGGGGGTATTTGGAGGATCGAGAATTAAAACCATGCCTTCAATCCATCACCAGGGCTGGTCTGGAAGTCGGGGCCATGCAGCAACATGTGGAAAGAATTTATGACCTAGTTTTCATTTCCGTGTTTAATATGATATCGGGAGCTTTCAGGGAAAGGAAGTGAGGAGAGGTTAGAAGAGAAGGAGAGCTTCACCTCTTTGTGTTAACGAAGCAAGAGGCAGACTCAGGCATGGAGCTGGGTGGAAACCGACCCAGCTGAAACCCTCGTCACCATCTGGCTTATTTCTCTTCAGTAATCGTGTTACTGTAAATGCTCCTCCTGGGTTCTGATTGGTCGCAGGCTCTGCGTCTGGCCAACTGACCTATCAGTGGAGATGATGGAAACCTCGTGAGATTCTATTAGACGCAAAGCCTGTCCCATCTGTAAGATGTCCATGTGCTTCCAGAACGTTGGAAGTGGGTTACTGTTACACAGGAAGTGACCCCTTCCTTCCACTGAGACTCGGGATGGGATTGGGGGGAACCCCGGCTTATCGGCTACCTTTTCCTGTTGTTCTCCGCTCTGCCTCGATGAGATTGTGTGTCCAGATTCGAGCTGAGCCACTCTTTCCTGTCAGACTCAAGGTCCTACTGTTTTTATCTTCAGTCACAGGTTAAACAGGAAGTAATTCCTGCCTCTTGCAACTTTTTATTTGGTGCTGCCATGGCGTTTTTTTTTTTCAGGAAATGTTTTGGTTTAAAAAAGAAAAGACTCAGGTCTTTCTGAACAGGAGCTTTTTACAGCCACCCTCAGCAGCACAGACACTTCAGACACGACTGTTAGAGTCAGTGGAGTGAGCAACACCATGACTATTACCGTTATTTTTACCAAATCTTACTGTGAATATCAGGAGTTTGGGACCCATCTGCAATTTAGGCTCACCTTTTCTGTCCCCTGACCACTTTTACGTTGATAATTGATTATTCAGGAAGCACCACTACTCGTTCCTCTGTATGTTTAAAGCGGTTGGGTGCTCACACTGATCCAGGTTCTGTTGGAGGTTTCTTTCTGTTAAAAGGGAGTTTTCCTCTTCACAGTCGCTACATGCTTGCTTAGTAGGAGAACTGCTGTAAAGATACTGACACAACAAGTCAGTGACTCGATGCAATCTGCTGGGTTTCCTTCTGGCTTTCCTTCCTTCCTGGGTATATTTATGTCGATGGTTTCCTTACATAAGAAACTTTTAACTAACTGACATAATGAACTGGACTCATTGCACTGATAAGTAGGTTCAGTTGGAACGTTTACTTAGTGTAATACTTTGAGACGATTGTCGTTATAAATTAACTGAATTAATTATAAACATGAGAAAATGGAACATTTGTTCTTTAAATCAACCATCGAACCCCTAAAAGTTGTTAGTGAATTCTTTGCAATTTGCTTATTCTTGATTTGCTCTTCAGGGCCATCAGAAAAGGCTGGAGTATCTCTCATCGTCTTCTGGTGCAAAACAAAAACAACAACACGTGTTTTTCAGGGAGACGAACTGAAGAGCAACCAACAGATGAGCTCTTTATGACATTTGTGCAAACCCAGAGAGCAAACACTGCCTGCTTTGTTGGATTTTTCATTCTTGTTCCTTTGTAATGTGGCTTTAAGCGCAAGAATTCTTAAAGTTAACACGATGTGGTTTCTTCAGATGAGGAAAGCTATTTACGCACAACGCTAATTAACAACAGCACCAAACAAACAGACAAAAGCTGTCCTGTAGACATTCAAAGTCCCTGTTTGTCTCCGTTGGGAGACATTTGCTTTAGACTGAGGGATTAGACTGCACAACCACACCAGACCATCATTAAAACGATAATTCAATTCAGTTTATTTATATAGCGCCAAATCATGACAAGAGTCAAGGCACTTCACACACGTCAGTTCATTAAGCCAATCAGTATAAAGTTTCCTGCATAAGGAACCCAGCAGGTTGCATCGAGTCACTGACTAGTGTCAGAGTCTTTACAGCAATCCTCATACTAAGCAAGCATTTAGCGACCTAAATAATTACTAAAACAACAATTTATGAACTAATAAAAGTATTAAAAATATAAAAAATACAATATTATTAAAAAATAATCCAAAATTTCAGTCAAAACACCAAATGACCCACTCACTCCTCCCACAAACATTCTTGACAAAAGTAAAATAGTCTGTTAAAAATGAACTGATTGTATTAATTCAGCAGCTCTAACTTTGTGGGGCTGTTTCAGTGTCCTGCTTTAAATATAATGTTAAAAATATTTATTTAGCTCTAAATTTCCCTCAAAAAGCCAAAAGTTTCATGTTAATAAATCATAAAGCCTCTTGAGGGATGCAGGGGAATGTTGTTGGATGTAAGAACCACAGCGCCCTCTAGAGGCTGGCTGTTTGTAAACAACCCTAAAGCTAACCCTTTGTCACCCTCTCTCTGGCAGGTCTGTTCCTGATCCTGGGTCTGATGCTGTACCCCGCTGGCTGGGGTTCGGACAAGGTCCAGGTGTACTGCGGTCCGGACTCGGCTCCGTACCGGGCCGGACTCTGCTCCATGGGCTGGGCCTTCTACACGGCAATGGGAGGCACCGTGCTCACCTTCATCTGTGCCGTCTTCTCCGCTCAGGCCGAGATCGCCACCTCCAGCGACAAGGTCCAGGAGGAGATCGAGGAGGGCAAGAGCCTGATCTGCCTCCTTTAGGCTCTGATGACACTTTGAAATTAGAAGGAGAAAAAAGAAGCAGATCCACCTCTGCTGCTCTGTTACTCGTGAGTCTGGCCTGTGAAAACGGAGGCGGCTGCATGGTTTACCACTAAAACTGACTCTTATTTTGTCTCGTGTTCGTGTGGGAGAGATCTGCAAGTGCCGAGTTTTTATTTCTCAGTCTTCTGACACTAGAGGTGCTGTGTTTGTTCTTGTATTCATGTAAAGCGTGTGGGTGCCCAGAGGGGCTTCGTCTGCCACCACACGCTCTGTAAATAAATATGATTATATGTATTTTGTACATAGTTATGATTCCAGAATGATGGTAATCTTTTATCCTGGCTGGGCTGATGATGTCACTCTTGCCACTTTTGGGGGAAAAAGAGGTGTTTTTGTGCCAGCAAACCTGGACTGCAAACTGTTTGTCACGTGTGAGTATTAACTCAACAAGAGAACCACTACTCAGTCAGAATAAGCAGCCTTGAACTCAGAGTGGATGTCTAGAGCTGGCAGAATGTACTATTTGAATGCCTAAAATGTGTTTTTAGACAGCTGAAATGTATTAATGGGAAGGACTGCTCACTTGGACTTCAAGGACAAGCAAAGGAAGCTCTGGGAAGGGTCTGGTCCTCGCTGAACAGACATCCCGTAATCTCTGCACACAGACGTGGACTGGAGCGATGACGACACAAACAGATGAAGTATTGCTGTTGCTAGTACTGTCTGCTTTCAGGGAGTGTGTGTGTGTCAAGTCATAGATAGTCTCTTATCTATTGGGATTTGTTTCTGCCAAACAAATAAAGAGAAGGGAAAACTAACAAGGTCTCAACTTGCCGTTTTTCCTTTGAGAGGATCGCTTCGTCAGAGAAGAGAGATGAGGTGTCATGGGAGGAGCAGCCAGTGTGGCTGAGAGACCTCCGTCTGGCCCTCAGAGGTGGGGGTGGAAGGGTGGGTGATGATGTTCTCCCCTGATGCACCATGGACGTCCTGTTTCATGTTTTACCTCCACAAGGCTACTCCGATATATGTAACCAGTGAGTTAGAGAACAAAGTAAGAATTAATTATTCAAATCACCTCCGTTTGGAGAAACTGATCAGTTCTTATAGAACAAGTCACCAAGGGGTCAAAAGCTCTCGGTTTACCGGTCGATCTTCATCCCCACCCTCATCTACGGTCACGAGCTTTGGCTAGTGACCGAAAGTATGAGATCACAGATACAAGCAGATGAAATGAGTTTTCCCTGTCTGGGCTCTCCCTTAGAGAGAGTGTCTGTGAAGAGCTTGGTCAATCGGGAGGGGCTCAGAGTAGACCCACCTCTCCTCCACATCAAGAGGAGCCAGTTGAGGTGGCTCAGGCATCTGGTCAGGATGCCTCCATGGTGAGGTTTTTCCAAAGGAAGACCCGGGACACGCTGGAGAGACTATGTTTCTCAGCAATAACCTTATGAAATGTTGGGAGGCCACAGTTTAGGACAGCTGCTACTGGCTTCACTCGTCAGTCTGCCCAGAAATAAACTCAGTCTCTCCAAACTCAGCTTTTTCAAACAGGTTAAATGTTTACAGTTCATAAATGTTTCTCAGAATCACGCATAAAATGGCCTGAACTGTTGCTTTAAAGAAGCCTGGAGCATAACACACATAAATGTGTGTGTGTGTACATACTGTATATCTGTGTGTGTATATATATATATATATATATATATATATATATATATATATATATATATATATATATATATATATATATATATATATATAGGGTTGGGGTGAGTCAGAAAAGCATAGAATGCCTTCTTCAGGTCAGGGACGAGGTCCTGCCTCAAGTGGAGGAGGCGGAGTTTAAGTATCTTGTTCACGAGTGAGGGAAAGCTGGAGCATGAGATCGATAGGCGGGCTGGTGCTGCGTCTGCAGTGATGTGGAAGATGTACTGGTCTGTCGTGCTGAAAAGAGTGAAAAGAAGGTGAAGCACTTGATTTACCGGTCGACCTACGTTCCTACTCTCACCTGTGGTCACGATCTTTGGGCAGTGACTGAAAGAACAAGATTGCGGGTACAAGCGGCTGAAATGAGTTTTCTCCGCAGGGTGGCTGGGCTCCCTGAGAAGCTCAATCATCCGGGTGGGGTTCGTAGTAGACCTGCTGCTCCTCCACATCGAGAGGAGCCAGTTGAGGTGGCTCGGGCATTTGATTAGGACGCCTCCCTGGTGAGGTTTTCCAGGCACATCCAACCGGGAGGAGACCTAAAGGAAGACCCAGGACACGTTGGAGGGACTATGTTTCTCGCCTGGCCAGGGAACGCCTTGGGATTCCCTTGGAAGAGCTGGCCCAAGTGGCTGGGGAGAGAGAGGTCTGGGCCTCTCGACTTGGGCTGCTGCCTCCGCGACCGGACTCCGGAAAAGTGAAAGAGAATGGATGGATGGATGGATGGATGGATGGATGGGTGGATGGATGGGTGGATGGATGGGTGGGTGGGTGGGTGGGTTGGTGGGTTGGTTGGGGTTAGGGTTAAGATAGGGTAGGGTTAGAGTCATGTCCTTGTCATTCAGTGTGTTTTGGGATTTTTTTTTATTTTATGTTTTGATGTACAGCCCTTTGTGCAACCCTACCTTTAAGGTGCTATATGAATAATGTAAATAATGTAAGCAATCAACTAAAGTCAGCAGCATGACTTCTGATCACCATTAGAGACTCTGAATAACTCCCTAAAACATTTCTACCACCTTTGGCCTAAACTTGCTCCATCTAACGAATGGTAGCAGTTGTGCTCACTGGTGTGTATTTCTGTGAGTGGTTACAGATACAAGATGACCAGATGTTGTATCATCCATCCGGACAGCAGAGAAGGCGATGGCACATCCCTGCAGCTCCCTTTCTTCACTGCAAACTGAGCTGAAGCCAAACTCTGACGTTGATGACTTCCAGACTGAGTGCAAGACAAATGGTGCAATCTGTAGAAGAGCACAACAGAAAGTGAGGCTCGTTTCATTTCCAGAGGCTTTTGGTTTTAGTCTAAGAGAATTAAAAGTGACGCAGCCTCGATTATTTGTTTCCTCTCTCACCCTGTAGAGGCACTTTGTCATGGGGAATGACGGCAAGTTAATGTAGGAAATGGCTCAAATTAAATGAAAACTACAGTAAACGTCTTGGTCTCAGCTTTTATGTGTGTTCTGTTAAAATTATTTTATCTGGACTTAATGGGACAAAAATTTTAAGCCAAATTTATCTTCATCTTTTTGTCTATATTAATCAAATCAGCTGTACGGCCTCGATGAGATTCTGGTCCACCATCTGGCATCTTAGGAGAAAGCAGTGCACTAGTAGCACTTGTGGGGAAGGAAGGAGTGCTGCTGACCTCGACTCAGGACGTGGATTGCTGGGTGGAGTACTTTGAAGACAGCAGTAACCCAGGAGGTAGAGGTTGTAGGTTCTACAGCCAGAGAATGCTGCTGTTGTGTCCTTGGGCAAGGCATTTAACCCACCTTGTCTGCTGGTGGTGGTCGGAGGGACTGGTGGCGCCTGTGTTCCGTCAGTGTGCCCCAGGGCAGCCGTGGCTACATCATAGCTCATCACCACCAGTGTGTGAATGAGTGGATGACTGATTGTGTTACCTTGGGGGGGTTGTAGAAATATAGGCCATTAACCTCCTTAATCCCACCAGCAGGTCTTCCAGTGAGGAGGCCGAGTCCAGGGACTGTGGGTTGGTCTCCAGTGGTGCTGAGGTGTCAAAAAGCTGGGTGGCAAGGCTGGGGGGGGGGGGGGGGGGGGGGGTTTAAATCCGCTCAGAGTCTTAAGGCTCTAGATGTTGTGGGGTTGTGTTGGTTGATGCAGCTCTGCAATATCTCGTGGACATCGGGGGCCGTTCCACTGAACTGGAAGACTGGAGCTCATTTAAAACAGGGGACCACAGAGTGTGTTACAACTACAGGGGGATCACAGTGCTGAGCCTCCCTGGTAAGGTCTATTCAGGGTTTCTGGAGAGGAGGGTCCGTCAGATTCAGGAGGAACAATGCGGTTTTTGTCCTGGCCGTGGGACACTGGACCAGTTCTATACCCTTAGGAGTGTCCTGGAGGGTGTGTGGGAGTTTGTCCAACCAATCTACATGTGTTTTGTGGATTTGGAGAAGGTGTTGGACACTTGCAGGAAACTCCTCGAGTATGGGGTACCAGAACCCTTGATACGGGCTGCTAGGTCCCCATATGACCAATGCGAGACCTTCGTCCGTATTGGCAGCAGTAAGTTGAGCTCGATTCCAGTGAGAGTTGGACCAAAGCTGCCCTTTATCACTGATTCACATAAGTTTTATGGACAGGATTTCTAGGCACAGCCAAGGTGTGGAGGGGATCCACTTTGGTGGCCTGAGGATCAGGTCTCTGCTTTTTGCGGATGATATGGTCTTGTTGGCTTCATCAGAACGTGATCTCCTGCTCTCGCTGGAGCGTGCCAACCCTCATCTATGGAACTTGCTCCTTTCTGGAGCCAGCCCCTAGTGGATGAGGGGGGAAACCGCAGTTTTTGTCACTTCTGTGTTGGCTTCACTTTTGGCAGGCGGAGTTTCCTCCTTTGCTCTCACGCTCAAGTCAGGCTTCTGCTAACGCCTTTGATGGACAAAAGGAAAACTACTCAGAAGAATGTTGATGCACTCACTTTCCAGGGGGTACTGGGATACCCCCACCCCCGACCAAGCCATTGGCTGGACCATCATATGTCTATGGACTGGACACTCACTTCCTCATTTGTCCGCCAATCCTCTGCACCATGACCCACTTTGGAAGCTCACTTTTGTTCCTTATTTGTTGGATAAATGGTACCAATCATGACCGCTAGAAGCGCTCTTGCCACGACAAAGATTCCAAAAGCGATAACTCATTACTTCCTCTCTGGTCTGCCCCTAAGGAGCTTCTGCTGCCTACAACGTGTGCAAAATGCAGCTACATGTGTCTTCGCAGGAAAAACAAGTATGACATCATCACATCTGTCCTGCTAGAGCAGATTTGAAGGTTTTGTTGACCTACAAGGCTTTCCACAATCCGGCTCCACCCTACATCGCCCATCTCCCAGACCAGTGAACCCCACCAGGCGGCCCGCGGGCCACACCTTGCCCGCCTGACCTTTCCACACAATTCTATGAATTTAAAGTTTAGATTTGAAAAAGTTTGTGACGTTATACAAAAACTTTAAACTTGAAAGATGTTTTTTTTTCTCCTCATAAAACCTGTGTACGGAGACACAATTGCATATAGAAGACTTTTATTCATCGTTTATACAATAAATATACAAAACTCAAACTACTCAACACGTGACTGAAGGTAAAACCGCCAAAATTACGCCAAAACTACAAATCACCAGTAAATCATACAAAATATACGAACGAGTTCCTTCTAATTGGAGTCATCAGAAGCATTTTTATTGGATATTAAGCATCTGCATCGAGCCGAGGTCCACCTACATCTACACCACACAGTTCACACTGCATTACAGTTCACCATCTGTCTCACTTTTACCACGTTATACCTAAACTAAATATAAAACAACCGCAAAATCAGTAGGTGCCAGTTAACCAGATCCTTTTAAGAAACATGTCAGAACCGAGAGACTGGGTCAGAAGTAGGGGGTAATAAGATCCCAGTTCCCATCTATAATACACGTAAAGGCTACTGGTTTCCACTTTAGATGCAACAGAAAAAGATCCAACACATTCAGACAGAAGGAAGCGATTGTAATTCAAATCATTTATAGAAAAATAGACATTCAAACACTGTTTTGACTTTAAAATGCACTAAAAATGTTTAAGATCAATTTAAATAAGGAAAATAAGATCAGACTTTATGGCTTAAGTTCGGTAATAACCCACTAGAATCTGAACATAACAGCATTAAAGGCCATTTACTTCTTTAAAGTAATTCTTTGTTGCATTATATTAATTTTCAGCAGGTTTATTCAAACGCAGAGGCCAGTTTGTTTCACGTTTAATTATCTCATGCAAGTGAAGAGCATCCTGAGGAAAACGTCCAAGACTAAGAACAGCCAGCAATCAATCATTCTCTTTGCCAATTGAAAACATAAATTAAACTGTACAGTTGGAAGTGCAGAAAAAGGGAATCCGTTGCAAACTGTGCCAACCCATGACATCATCCTTAGGAAGTGATTAGTCTGAAATGGAAGAACTCAACTGATGCATGTAGGAAAATAAAATAAACTTCAACACTAATGAACAAGAAGGCATGGGATCATTTTTACAAAAATACTACGTTTCTGCAGCACGCAGAGAAACTCCAGTGACCGGATTTAAAGTGCTTCTCATTCTTCACGACGAATGCGCCAGCTCAGATCAACAATATGTCAAGAAGGTGTCTTGTTAGAATATGTTAGAGTTTACAATGGAATTAGAAGGCTTCTACACGACTGTTTTGAGACAACGGTCTCCAAGCTCAAACCTAAAGATCCTTAACAGGAAATATATTGTTGTCACAAGTACTTTTATCCCAAGTGCAGCTGAAGCTTAAGTTTGCAGGTTTTAGGTCACAAGGATGCCATGGTGACATAAATCAATCCTGGTGGGGTCTAAAATCCAGTGTTCCTGTTTACATATCACTTCTACAGCAGCAAACACATTCAACCATGGATCTAGTTGGCTAATGAACACTGCCATCTACAGGACAATGGAGTTATCACAGCTCTAGATAGGATTGAAATAAGCTAATTATCTAAAAATCACTGCGGGTGTATTAAATATGCATTTTACCTAAAGTCTCCATTGAGACTGTTTGTGCATGAACACAAGGGAAGAAAAAAGGAAGCAAAAAACAAAGCAGTACACTTTTTTCTCACCACTAGGGGTCAGCACTGTCCAGTTTTACAGTCAGAATGTGGATGAGCTGAAGGACCAAAAGATGGTTTGATGTCATAAAACAAATAAATGAAAATTCAGCAGTCATTTGGTTGAGAAATAGAAGCCAGAAGTTTTAAGTGATCATTAGAAAAATACTCTGCTCTGCTGCGTTCTAACCTGCCACTGACCTGGAGGCAATAGCAATGTTTAAAAAGGCACACAGACCTTCGTTAACTTAGCCACATGTGGATGTGCGCACACACACACACACACACACACACACACACACACACACACACACACACACACACACACACACACACACACACACACACACACACACACACACACACACAGAGGAAGCAGGGTATGCTCGTTGAGAGTAGACGGGCTCCGCCAAGGTCCGGGTGGTTCTGTGACAGATATTTGCCTGATGGGCCACCTTCTTCATATAAACCACTTCGGTATTGTCAGCTGGGAAGATCGTTGGGTTCAGCACAGGTGGGCGTCATGGAAACAGACTCTGCTCCGACTACATCTGCTCTTTGAAGGCTCCTTGTGCCGCGCTGGAGGCGGCGTTAGCGGCAGCCGTCTGGACCGTCTTGTTGGACATGACGCCTGTAGCAAACTCTTGCTGGGCCTTCTCAAAGCTGGCGCCGGTGGTCCGGTACATCGAATGGACCTTAAGTGTGAATGAAAAAAAAATACAGTTAAATAAAGAGCTGCACGAAGCTACATGTTAGACATACAGGGTTTCCCCCAGAAAATGAGAAAATGGCCCGCCAAATGGGGGGGGGGGGTGCAGGTTGCACGCTCCCTCCCGCAGCGCTCCTCCATGACAGCGGGGGGTTTGCACACGTTCCGCTGCTGTTTCTCACCAGAATCAGTTGATGGAGGCCTCTAGTTTTGTTGCGCCGTTCGTGTCAGCGGACACGGTAGGGTCAAGGAGGGGGGCGGGGCATGACGCTTAGCCTGGCGGGTGGCCAAGCAAAGCCTGGCAGGCCGCCAGGCCTATCAAGCGCTGGGGGAAACCCTGGACATACAGGTGCTGGCCAGTAAATTAGAATATCATCAAAAGGTTGAAAATATTTCAGTAATTCCATTCAAAACGTGAAACTTGTACATTATATTCATGCAATGCACACAGACCAATGTATTTCCGATGTTTATTACGTTTAATTTTGATATTTATAGGTGACAACCAATGAAAACATCAAATCTGGTATCTCAGAAAATTAGAATATTCTAAAGGCCAATGAAAAAATGTTTGTTTCTCCAATGTTGGCCAACTGAAAAGAATGAACATGAAAAGAATGTGCATGTATAGCACTCAATACTAGGGCTGCAACAACGAATCGATAAATTCGATGAAAATCGATTACTAAAAGCGTTGGCAACGAATTGCGTCATCGATTCGTTGTGTCGCACAACTCTTCCAAAAGCGCCCCCCCTTCCCGCCCGCCGTTGCGCGCAGACCAGAGCAAGTCAGATCAGCGCGAGGGAGAGCCGCAGATCAGCGCGAGGGAGAGCCGCAGATCAGCGTGAGGAAGAGCCGCAGATCAGCGCGAGGGAGAGCCGGCAGATCAGCGCGAGGGAGAGCCGCAGATCAGCGCGAGGGAGAGCCGCAGATCAGCGCGAGGGAGAGCCGCAGATCAGCGTGAGGGAGAGCCGGTACAGGCAGATCAGCGCGAGGGAGAGCCGGCAGACTTGAGCTGCTGCGAACCGGTTCCGCATTGTTGCACAGCGATCCAGCAGCTGCTTCCAGCGCACGGTCCATTCTCAAAGTGGCGCAACCAAAAAACTATAATTAGCACACGATCGTTCTTGTCTGCACATGTTCTCTATTTTCTGTCTTATTTGTGCCTGAAGCGCGCTACTGCGGAGCTCATCACCTGTGCTGTGGTGATGTCACCTCACGCAGCATCGAAAACGCGCTCTGCGCTTTTCGGTCAGGAGATCCCTTTGACCTGCTCAAAAGTAACTGATGAGGTGAAAAGGTAAGAATCCAGGCAACAGATTTTCTGGAGAATTAAGAGGAGATGCAGGAAGATGAGAGACAGACAGGACAGGAAAATAGTTCAATAAAAACAAGAAAACAAAACAAAGTGTTGAAAAGTAAAATGTAGGTAGATTTATCTCCACTACACGTTTTTACCAGTAAAAAACAATAAGTTATACACATGTCATATTTATACATCTGATACAATTCAGATCACCTTCAAAACTCAGTCACACACCCAGGGCCGTTTCAAGACATTTTGGGGGCCAAGGCAAAATGCCCCCCCCCCACCCCCCCACCCCCAATAACTGGGCTCCCCAGAAGCCTCTGTGTAATTCATGCCCTCTCCAGTAGTGTTAGTTATATGGTGTTTATAAAAGCCCCTCAGACATTACTGACATGCTCTAATATTATCAGATGAAAAACTAAATTATCAGACATGCTGTCTCATCTGCTTATTTTATAAACTTGCAAAAAGTAACAAAACCATTTGAAAGCCACTATTTGTGGATTCTCTGAAAGTTTCCATGGAGTTTGTGACAACTTATTTTATCATTGATCCTATCGTCTAATCTCACAGTTGAAACAAGCATCCTTAATAATCTGTGCACAGGAAGCTTACCGATGCTGTAGTAAAACAAAAGGTATAATAATTTATTATTAATAAAACCTTGTTGCAGCACTAAAGCAGAAAAATTAGATTTTGCATTAAATATGCAAAATATTTACATATGAATTGTTTTAGAGCCCTTTAATTGGCAGAATCTGATATTAATTTAGTTCTTACAAAAAATGGGTCCCAACATGGTTTGTGTGGCGTTGCCATAGTGTGACGTCATAGGCACAGATCCCCTGTCCTCTTGTTTGGAAATGGAAATATGGTCACCCTACATTAAACAAACTGTCCACCCGGGCTTTTGCACTGCACAGAGACGCTTCGCTGCCTACGACTGAACGTCATTTGAGAGTCAGTCTCATGCAGACTGACCAATGAAGAGAGGGCCTCAAGTTAAGACCCTCTCCTCATTGGTCAGTCCACACGAGGTGGGTCAAAGGTTACTCTGGGCGGGTTACGTGTTGTCAGGCATTCAAGTATTGAGTATATTTACTGCATATTACAGTAAAATATTCTGTATGTGACCACATTATGGTGATCCTTGGGTCGTGATGATGGAGCCCTTGAATATTGTTGCCCAGGGTACAACAAAGTGTTAATCTGGCCCTGGTTCCGCCGTCACATTCCCGCAGAAACTGGTTGATCACACCGGGGCCAGACTACTAGCATGTGGTTTTACAACCACAATGTCCTCGGAAGCAAAAACGCTTTTAAAAGGGAGGGAGGAGTCCTAACTGTTGCTGCAGGCGTGTTGTGTGAGAGTGCAGTTATATACTGGTTAATATATTTTTGGGTTCAGTTGCTTTCATGTGGCCTAATGTGAGTCTATTTGGGATCATTGGAATGATCAGCAGCATTTCTTGATGTGACTTTATGGCAGTTGCCCAGGGCATCATCGCAAGGAGGATGGCATTCATTTACTTTTGTTTTATTTGGTATTTTTTCAGTCATTTTTGGAAATAGTGATCAATTTTGATAAATTCACAGCCTATGTTTAATTACATTTAAAATAAATGTCAACAGATGAGATCAAACAAAACAGATGAGAATTGCCCTTAAGCAGTTTAACTTGGACCAAGCATTTTAGGTCACAGATAGATGTAGCTTAGGGTCTCTGTCTATACACCTTATAAGACAATTTAGGTGATGGCATGTTGTTTTTCTGCTATTGAACTGTTTTCTGATAATGTTGTGTTAAATAAAGTGAAGGAAGGAGAGAAATAACGTTTCCCTAGCAGTTTTTAAAAATTTCCCCATGTAATCCGATTAATCGATTAATCGTGTCGAGACCCCATCCGATTAATCGATTATCCAAATAATCGTTTGTTGCAGCCCTACTCAATACTTCGTCGGGGCTCCTTTTGCCTCAATAACTGCAGTAATGCGGCGTGGCATGGACTCGATCAGTCTGTGGCACTGCTCAGGTGTTATGAGAGCCCAGGTTGCTCTGATAGTCGTCTTCAGCTCCTCTGCATTGTTGGGTCTAGCGTATTGCATCCTCCGCTTCACAATACCCCATAGATTTTCTATGGGGTTAAGGTCAGGCGAGTTTGCTGGCCAATCAAGGACAGGGATACCATGGTCCTTGAACCAGGTGCTGGTGGTTTTGGCACTGTGTGCAGGTGCCAAGTCCTGTTGAAAGGTGAAGTCTGCATCCCCATAAAGTTGGTCAGCAGCAGGAAGCATGAAGTGCTCTAAAACTTCCTGGTAGACGGCTGCATTGACCCTGGACCTCAGGAAACAGAGTGGGCCAACACCGGCAGATGACATGGCACCCCACACCATCACTGACGGTGGAAACTTTACACTGGACCTCATGCAACGTGGATTCTGTGCTTCTCCGCTCTTCCTCCAGACTCTGGGTCCTTGATTTCCAAAGGAAATGCAGAACTTGCTTTCATCAGAAAACATAACTTTGGACCACTCAGCATCAGTCCAGTCCTGTTTGTCCTTGGCCCAGGCGAGACGCTTCTTGCGCTGTTTCTTGTTCAAGAGTGGCTTGACACACGGAATGCGACACCTGAATCCCATGTCTTTCATGAGTCTCCTCGTGGTGGTTCTTGAAGCGCTGACTCCAGCTGCAGTCCACTCTTTGTGGATCTCCCCCACATTTTTGAATGGGTTTGTCGTCACAATTCTCTGCAGGGTGCGGTTATCCCTAGAGCTTGTACACTTTTTTCTACCACATTTTTTCCGTCCCTTCGCCTGTCTGTTAATGTGCTTGGACACAGAGCTCTGCGAACAGCCAGCTTCTTTAGCAATCACCTTTTGTGTCTTGCCCTCCTTGTGCAAGGTGTCAATGATTGTCTTTTGGACAGCTGTTAAGTCAGAAGTCTTCCCCATGATTGTGGTGCCTTCAAAACAAGACTGAGGGACCTTTTAAAGGCCTTTGCAGGTGTTTTGAGTAAATCAGCTGATTAGAGTGGCAGCAGGTGTCTTCTATATTCAGCCTTTTCAGAATATTCTAATTTTTTGAGATACCAAATTTGGAGTTTTCATTAGTTGTCACTTATGAATATCAAAATTAAACGTAATAAACATCGGAAATACATTGGTCTGTGTGCATTGCATGAATATAATGTACAAGTTTCACGTTTTGAATGGAATTACTGAAATATTTTCAACCTTTTCATGATATTCTAATTTACTGGCCAGCACCTGTATATGTGTGTGAGATGTCGGATTTAACATGTTCTCCAAATTTAAGAGTACGTGACTCGCAGCGATCCACCAATAACAATCGGCCTCACTTGATTCGTGGAAGCAGACCGTGAGCTAGTTGTTTATGTGAGATTACGTTGTTTTCCTAATTTTATTGGCTATTTGATGTGGTAAAAACATACTGCCCCTTCACCTGTTGGATCTGCTAACACGGGGATAAAAAGTTTAAAGCCAACGTGAGGATGCTAATGGATGTTTCTAGTAAAAACCTTGTAAGAAGAAGACGCACATGAGGAACACATTGAAGGTTTTCAGCAGTACATTATGTTGGACTGTGCACGTTTGTTGTGGACTACCGGTTTTACTGGAGAACATTGACTGGACCCTTGTGGGTGTTTTTGTTTGAGACGGCTCTATTCCATTAACGACACGAAGCTTCTAATGGTGACTAAGATTTAGCATTTCTGACTGGTTTGATAAAAAGATTGTATCAGATAAAAAAAAAATACTGATTTGACCCGGATTTGTGTAATTCACCACCTGCTATAAGTAAAACACCAACCAGATGGCAGGAGTGCAGCAAAAACCCAAGTGCTATTCGAGTTATCTGTTCAAATGTTGTGTATTTCTTATTTTCTCTGTATTTTGTAGGGGAGGGGAAAAAAACAGCGTGCCGCCGATCGTTTACCTTTTTGAACATGATCAGAGACAGGACAGCTAGTGAGGTGAAGAGAGCTGCAACGAGGATCATCAAAATGCCCACCGGGATGCTGCTGTTCAAACAAGTCAGCGCTGAAATCCAACCGCTAAGAGAAATAAAAAGCATCATCTCATCATAAAGGAACCTTTTAGCCCATTTCATACGTGTTTTAAATAAATATTTATATCGACCATCTGTTATGGTTTCATATGCTAACACAAAGTTAAGCTGATAAATAATGAATTCTGATTATATATATATATATATATATATATATATATATACGGTATATATGAAATATATATATATTTTATATATATATATATATAAATGTTTATAATTATTTATGTATATATTATATATATAAAATTGTTAATTTCATATATATATAAGTTTATAATTATATATATATTATATATATATATAATATATATATATAAATGTTTATAATTATTTATGTATATATTATATATATAAAATTGTTAATTATATATATATATATATAAGTTTATAATTATTTATGTATATTATATATAAAATTGTTAATTTTATATATATATATATAAGTTTATAATTATATATATATTATATATATAATATATATATATAATATATATATATATAAATGTTTATAATTATTTATGTATATATTATATATATAAAATTGTTAATTTTATATATATATAAGTTTATAATTATTTATGTATATATATAATATATACATAAATAATTAGAAACATATATATATATATATATATATATATATATATATACATATATATATATATATATATATATATATATATATATATATATATATATATATATATATATATATATATATATAATTATTATTTTTTTTTTTCCCAGAAAGACAATATTGTTAATTTTGTTTTCTGGAAATCATTCAGAGTTTGTGAGATGCTATGAAAGCAGGGAGATAACATTAAGAAGAATTAATAACTGGCTTTATATTTCACACTCAGTAATCTAGTGTATCCTAAATTTCCCTGTTGCTTTACAATCATTTACATGGCTGCCACTTCTAATTTAAATGGTTATTTTGGTAGATATCTTATTTTAAAAATCCTTTTAACCCTCCCACTGTCCTAATGGGTGTGACCCCACGAGGAGAGTTGACCATTGAGCAGGACTGATGCTTTATCCCTTGGGTCCACGTGGCAGGGATGAGGAGTGAGCACCACCTCAAGTACGACTTAGCAAAGGGTCACACCCATTAGGACAGTGGGAGGGTTAACAAACTGAATCACTATTTAATAATAACACTGTTGTAATGTTGCACTTTGGTGAAACATGATTTATAACACTATATTTAAGAGCTCACCTTGCACCCCAACCAGCGATCCCAATACACTGGATGACATAAATCCCAAACTGGCAGATGTACACAAAGAAAAACACAAAAAACCTGAATGAGCTGTCATTCCTGCGGAACAGAAACAGAAAAGACGAGTAAAACAGACGTTTAGTATTTCGATCGTCAGAGTTAAAGAGAGTTTGCACTAAAGCATTTACCTGAAAGCTCCATAAAGTGGTCGGTACCAACAGACGAAGGAACACGGAGTGAAGAGCAGCAACCAGAGGAGGGACAAGCCAAAGTCCACTCCACGTGAGGAGTCCACACAGAACCAGGCCAGGCAGCCAACCAGGTTGGCTAGCAGCGTCCCAGAATGCACTGCAAAGGGAAGGGAAGCAGAAAGTCATCTGGATGTGGCGTTGACTCAAAGTGGGGTGTTTATGGTAGCGGCTGCTGTTTAAGTTGTCTATGAAAACACTTCAATGGCCCGCATCTTGCTGTTTTACACCATCCCTAGCAACGACAGACACAATGTATGATAAAATATTACAGTTGGCACTGTGGAGATGTCATTTTTAATCAATAAAAAAATATTTTTGAGAGCAATTCTTTCAACCCGGAAGTAAGATGTTTGGATTTGATGAAACCTCCCTTCCCCGTGTGTATTCCACAATAGCACACTGATGCAGACCTGGGCCCTCATTTATCATCCGTACTTACAAACAGATCTGTGCGTAGGAATGAATTTATGCATTGTGTGGTATTCACCAATTTGTACTTGTGTGTGGAAATGTTCCTCTGACCATGCGTAGGAACAGCGTCTAGTGGTAGAACGACGGATCGGGGGACTGAATGTCTCAGTCGTCCACACATGTTCCTCATCCATCAATTATTTTACCCAATGAATAGTTATGTTGTGGAAAAACGGCTTTTTCGCATAATTGGTGCTAAAACCAATAAAAGACACATGTGACCGACGGGAATCTGATATTTTATCATGGCTGGTTTGTGTTACTGGAGGATTTAACAGAGCATTCTCTCTGGAGATAAGGCCTCCTCCGCACTGACCTAAAAGGAAATCCTTCAGCCATGCTGGGATTTGGGAACCGTTGTCCGATTCCAGTTCATATTTTATTTTACAACTATGAGAACCCCCCAGAACCTCTCCTGCTCCCTGATCATACACACCACGTTGCCAAGGTAACCAGACTGAATGCACTCTCAGACAACTTTTCCAAATAAAACAAACTCCAACCAGAACGACTCCTTAACAACCCATTTAACAACTATTGTTTCTGCGCAAACTCGCAGTTATCGTCCATTTATCGTTGTCAAGGTGAAATCCTCATTATATCGTGATGCTGATTTTAGGTCGCATCGCCCAGCCCTAGGATGCATTCTCAATATAAATGACTGAGCAAGAACACATTCATGATACGTACTTAGGATTGGAACAGTACTCGGACCAGCTTTGATGACATTTCACAAGGATGTGAGTACACATGTTCAGACGAGTATGCACATTGGGAAATTGACTTTCAGTACCTTCCACAATGAGCCGTTCCATGGCTCTGTTACTTTAATGCTAGTGAGCTGATTGTGCCCACGCCCACCAATCCCATCAATTCAATTCAAATTCAATTCAAAAATACTTTATTAATCCCAGAGGGAAATTGATTATCATCACTGGCTGCTATGAGCTAAGAAGCTCAGCTATTCAGGAGGGTCTCAGGAGTAGAGCCGCTGCTCCTCCATGTCTGGACTGCTCCGGATCGCTCCAATCATAAATCAAACACGTTGGATTGTCTTTGTCCAGTTTTCAAAGTAAAACAAGTGTCTGGCCTGGTAAATGTGTATGTTTATGTTTATTTATTTGGCAGACGCTTTTATCCAAAGCGATTTACAATTTATAACCTATAGGGCATGTTGTGATCTGTGGGGCAAACCGGAGTACCCGGAGGAAACCCACGCATGCATGGGGAGAACACGCAACTCCACGCAGAAAGGGCCCAGCCGAGTTTCGAACCCGCAATGCTGCGAGGCAACAGTGCTAACAACTGCGCCACCATGCAGCAAATGTCATGTGTAGCCATTCAGAAAGGGAGATGAGAAACAGTGAGAAACCTGTTTTCTTCGTCACGATTGATTTCAAGAGGTTTAGTGAAATTTCTCATCTCATCATTCATGTGTGAAATCACACACAAACATTCGGTGTGTAGTGTGTAGTCTTTCTTGTGTGGAAGTACACCACAAACTACCAGCCCAAAACTGATGTCCACGATTTTTTAATCGCCATGAGTGGGGACTCTGTGAACCACGCCTAAGCGTCAACAGGTGTATATGGTTTCTGTGCCAATTTTTCCTATGGTGATGTCACAATAAGGGACTTTTTGAAACAGCTTGTTTTAGGCACCAAATGCAGACAAAAAAAACAAAAAACGAATGGATCGTCGTCGTCGTCTTCCTCCGCTTATCCGGGTCCGGGTCGCGGGGGCAGCATCCCAACTAGGGAGCTCCAGACGTCCTCTCCCCGGCCACCTCCACCAGCTCCTCTGGAAGGACCCCAAGGCGTTCCCGGACCAGATTGGAGATGTAACCTCTCCAACGTGTCCTGGGTCGACCCGGGGGCCTCCTGCCGGCTGGACATGCCCAAAACATCTGCCCAGGGAGGCGTCCAGGAGGCATCCTGACCAGATGCCCAAACCACCTCAGCTGACTCCTTTTGATCCGGAGGAGCAGCGGTTCTACTCCAAGACCCTCCCGAATGTCCGAGCTCCTCACCCTATCTCTAAGGCTGAGCCCGGCCACCCTACGGAGGAAACTCATTTCGGCCGCTTGTATCCACAATCTCGTTCTTTCGGTCATTACCCAAAGCTCATGACCATAGGTGAGGATTGGGACGTAGATCGACCAGTAAATTGAAAGCCTGGCTTTCTGGCTCAGCTCCCTCTTCACCACGACAGATCGGCTCAGTTTCCGCATCACTGCAGACGCCGAACCAATCCGCCTGTCGATCTCCCGATCCCTCCTACCCTCACTCGTGAACAAGACCCCGAGATACTTAAACTCCTCCACTTGAGGTAGGACCTCTCTCCCGACCCGGAGTTGGCAAGCCACCCTTTCCCGGTCGAGAACCATGGTCTCAGATTTGGAGGTGCTGATCCTCATCCCAGCCGCTTCACACTCGGCCGCAAACCTACCCAGCAAGAGCTGAAGGTCAGAGCTGGATGAAGCTAGGAGGACCACATCATCCGCAAAAAGCAGAGACAAGATTCTCCTGCCACCAAACTTGACACACTCCACACCACGGCCGCGCCTAGAAATTCTGTCCATAAAGGTAATGAACAGAACCGGTGACAAAGGGCAGCCTGGCGGAGTCCATCCCTCACCGGGAACTTACTACCGGCTATGCGGACCAAACTCACGCTCCTCTGGTAAAGGGACTGAATGGCCCTTACCAGAAAGCCACCCACCCCATACTCCTGGAGCGTCCCCCACAGGGTGCCCATGGGGACACGGTCATAAGCCTTCTCCAAATCCACAAAACACGTGTGGATTGGTTGGGCAAACTCCCATGCCCCCTCCATCACCTTTGCAAGGGTATAGAGCTGGTCCACAGTTCCACGGCCAGGACGAAAACCACATTGCTCCTCCTCAATCTGAGATTCAACTATCGATCGGACCCTCCTCTCCAGTACCTTGGAGTAGACCTTTCCAGGGAGGCTGAGGAGTGTGATCCCCCTATAGTTGGAACACACCCTGGATGTTTATTATAAATATTTGGAGTCTTTACAGAGGCAGTAGACACCCACATGGCCACATAAAAGGATGCATAAAGTGAAATTTGCATAATTTGTCCTCTTTTAATATTTAAACGCCAACCAGAACCCACACAGACGGTGGATTATTCATTATTATCTTTGGTTTTTAAGACTCTAGAAGGGTCTTTCCCATTAAAGGTTCTGCAGCGGTTTGTTTGACTGGATGGATTTTTAATCCCAGTGTGAAAAAGGGCACCAGGCTGCTGCTAAACAGAACACAAACTTGAGAGATGCTTATGCTGTTTGCTCAAGAGCTCCGTGTACTTGACAGAAATCCAGTGAGCTGGATTATAGAGCAGCTCCTTCTCTGCTGCTGTTGAATCCAACTCTAAGGAATCATCTGACCGAGTCCCGTCATTAAACCACATGACTGCTCCACATGTGTCCGTCATGTGCTTACTGAATTCCACTGGAATCCATTCCTCTCCTGACACACGCGCACGCACGCACGCACGCACACACACACAGTTAAAGCCCTCATAGTGAAGAAAGTCCCTAAGGTCGAGAGGAAAAGGTTTCATTTGACTAAATCCCGTGAATGCCGAGTAACATCAGTTCATCAGTAAAGGCGTAAGACAAAATCACCATGGCGATGAGGGTTACTCACACATCCAGAGGTAGTACATGATTTTAATCGTCTTCTGAAACTCTACAGGAATGTCCACCGTGATGTCGTGGTAGAAACACGGTCCCACAGGGAACTTCTCTGGGAGCGGGGGCCAGTTGTTTTTCCTGCCTGCAAGAGTCAACCTTTCAGTTACTTTTAACGCGTTTCAAAATCAAAGTCTAAAACATGAAGTGATGGAAATGTACTTAGTGCACGTTACTGAGATCGTTCATTGTGACTTCCTGTTTGGTTATTAAAATCTGTCCTGTGGTTCATGAGCTGTGTTGATAACAAAAACATCACCTGTTTTATGTTTTGTCAGAGGGAAGTAAATATGTTTGCTTGGCAAAGCACCAGAGGGAATTTAGTAGAAGCATCAAGTTCAGTTTCTTTGTGTACACCTTGAATAGATTGTTTCACTTTTTAGTTATAACTGTTTCTTTGACACAATGAGAGAAAAAAACTCCGGTTTTAAGATTTAAACCAAACCTAAAGGACCTAAAACAGCTGTGTCGCTGTGTTCTGGTGTCTCTTTCTGACCTCCTGTAGCGCTGAGCGACTGCATCTCTCGTTCCCGCCGGTCCAACTCTGCAGCCTTCCTCTCCAGCTCCTCCTGCCTCTTCAGCAGCTCAGCGGCTGCTTGTGGTGGCTCCTGAGCACACGATAAGCAGGTGTCAACGCACTCGTAGAAGCTCTGATACCTTTTTATTTCTGTTTTGATGTTTGGAGTGATTTCTTTTCTCCGTGCTGTTATCTGTGGCCTGCTGCAGTTTCCAGGACCCTGCATTTACAAACAAGATGTCCTTTGCTGCAGCCCGGTCACAGACGGCAGCTGTGTGTGTCAGAATCTCTCTGTGAAGCTGGCCATAAACCAAAACACACACTTCCTCATGAAGACACACAGGTTCACACAGTCAGCTGTAACCTTTAAGGTTGAAAAGCTCCCTCCTGCTGACACCAACCTGCTGCTGGAAGAATCTGGACTGAGCTATTGTGACTAAAGCTCTGGAGTCGTACCTGTGACTGATGCTGTGAGTAGGCTGGGGGCTCCTCTGTGGGTTTCATGATGGCCGGCTGAGTGCCGAGAGTCGGACCTGCAGTCCTGGCTGCCATACCTGCAGATGGCTGAGGAGAAAATGTGAGCTCTCAGTTAAACGTGGAATCTGATGGTGTAGTGATGCTGCCACAAGTCCACATCACACTGACAGTCTGATACAACTAAACAAAAACGGAAGTCGTGTACGTGCTAATCCCTTCACAAGAGGAAAAAGCAAACAATAGGCTATGCCCATGTAAGGGAAACACTGAGGTGTAGGAGACTATTTTCATGTTCAGCCTGCATGAAGTGACTGATTATAATCAGAAATAAGATTTTAAAAAGATGTTTGTTCAGTGATCCACACGTTTGATGACTGGATCATGATTCATCTGTAAAACTGCCCTCTGAAGTAAGACCCCACCCAGGGTGACTTATCCTTTAAGAACCAATAAAGATAAAAACTGCCTCATTGCTCACCATGAAAACACCACACTATATTAGCTAGCATATTACATTGTTATACTGTTATGTAGGCGTGTTGTGTTAGGAATTATGGGAGAAAAGGTGCCAAAAATGTAAGACGTTGCTATGTTTTTAATGTTGTTTGACCGTAACCGTTGCAATAGGCATTATATCATGTCTACGACCACCAGATTCTGTGGCTGTAGGGGATGTACCTTTGAATTGTTATTTTTCAAAATGCAGCTTGCTTAAATGGCTTTCTTATTTAACCCTAAAAAAGCTGAAAATACATTTAAAATAGACTCTGCATCTCTCCTGTTGAAAACTGAAGCCATGATAGCTCATCTAAGAGTATTGCCATGAGACTGAGCACCAGGTGTTACCCCCCTGCAGACAATTGTACTGCTTCTTAATTAAGAAAGAGTTGTGGTCAGATTCTGGTGGTGCGAGGTGGGGGTGTAGCGTATACACGCTGTGCTAAACTTTCTGCATAACTGGCAAAATTTCAGAGCAAAGTTGCAAAAGTGAAAGTAAAACTAAAGGACAGCAGCTCAGGCTGCAGCGCCTCGTGATGACAGCGTGGATTACAGCTTGGGAGGCACCTGTTGACCAACCCTGGCATAAAAGCTTACATTAGAAATGTATTTGATATTTAAAATGTATTTAATTTCATGCATGTGATTTGTAGCATTTTGACATACGAAAAGATTTGGATAATTTTATGGTTTAAACAAGTTCTCTGAATGCATGATGCCTGCAACCACTAAATAAATTGTAGAAATACTCACTGGTTTGGCATCTGTGAAGGGGTTGTACTCCTCTAACCCTGCAGGAATGCTCTGTCTTACATGTTGTACTGACGGATCCTGAGGAGGGACAAAACAGTTTCAAATGGCAAAGAATATAATGAATTTTAAAAAAAGACTTGATATGGCAAAGTGGTGTATTAGTTGTCTGAATAGTATTGTTTTTAAATCTGTAAAATGTGATTTTTGACAATACAAAGCTGTAAAGTTGGAAAAAAATGGTTCATGTGAGTGTAGAAACACCCCATTGTTCTGGGTGATCAAGGCATGACAGCTCCCTCTATTCAAACCGGCCAGGCCTATAATTCAATACCGGCAAAGACGAAACAATTCCAATAATTTCCACAAGACAGTGGCTAAAATTAGCCAAGCCTATGAGGATAAGAAGGTGGGTAGATGAAATTAAAAGAGACACTCTGTGGTTTTTCTAGATTCAAACACAAAATCTGGTCATTTTAACTTCATTTAAATGCAAAACCATTTTTTTTCAAATAACACTAAATGAATAAAGCAAAACATTTCAACAGCAGAAATGAGCGTTTATGAGCTAAACTTATAAACTGAAAATTAAATGCAAAAGTGAGTTATTATCATAATTGCAGTAAAATACATTTTTAATTATGACCAATAAGATGTGATATTCCATATAAATATGAAATATCAATCTGAATGATCTTTGAATGTTTAATCTGAAGATTCTAGGATTTTTTGCTTGTAAAGGGACCATAAACACACTTCGTATTAATTCAGACAGTCAGTATATAGTTTATAAAATGAATTTAATTCTTTTTCCTAAACTAGTAATTTATACATGACAAGATATGAATAAGGAGATGCGATGTGGTGGATGTGAGGTGTTGTGATGGAAGCTAGATGATGTAGCAACCGTTCTTTGTATCTGAGAGAAATTGTGAAATTGTATGAGTGGCTCCCGGTGGTCTGGAGGGTTGCGGTCAAAGTGGTGAGGTCACCGGACGTCGAAACCAGGATACTCAGAGATTAGTAGCTTCCTCCGAGTTCGGCTTCCCCAGCCATGAGATGCAACCCGGGGTCTGCAGGTTAGGTGTCGAAGGTGGATGTCTGAGAGTTGAAGTAGCTCTGAAAAGAGCTGTTGTGTCTGTAATCACTTGCAGCGTAGCAGAAAGGTTTTGACTTAAGGTCAAAGGAGATGGTTTCAAAAGAGGCTTCTTTGCCGAATTGGCCGGTTCGAGGGTCAGCTAGAAACTAAGTGGGAAGAAATTCTTGTTTTATTAAACTACTTTGTTATGATTTCTGGCTAAGTTTGGCTAATCAGAATCTGACACGTTTCTGACGTATTTACCATCATCTCTCAGAAAGCCACGCCTTCCTTCCCATACAAAAGGTTTTTAACACTTTGTGAATGAGAATGGTCAAAACTCTTATGTGAGGTGCATAATAACCTTAATATGTATCTTATTGTAATGTGTATGAGTGTAAACAATGAATAACTTGTTACATCAAACACATACTGATTTGTGATATAAATGGATCGTTGTAAGAACAATATTAATTTCTAATTCATTGATTTAAGCACATATTATTCAAACATTTCATTTAAACATCTTGTTCATTCATCACCTACGATTATTTAACTTATAACTATAAAATCATGGAGTCTTCACTTATTCAGAGTGAAGAATGTTTACTTCTGGCTTTCACAGAGAGTGCAGGAACCTTGGGAGAGAATGCTTTGTCTTCACGGTATGTAAACATGCACTGAGCAGAACCTTCTGGATTAAAAAAGTTAAATAGAAAGTGGATTTATGCTGTAGATGAAAGGTTATTATGTTGATCAATATATAGATGAAAAATGACCCTTTTGGTATGTTACACAATGACAAAACAACCAGCTTTACATATTTTATCAGTATTTGCATGAAAAGTCCAGTCCCAGCAGGAATCAGTTAAGCCACATTTCATTTTATTACTCTTACCATCAGCTGCCTTTAACAACACACTGGTTTCATTCAAATGGCCGCTCGAGATAAACATCCAGTCTGCGTATTCCTGAAGCGTTATCCTTATCCAGCCTCAGCGATCACCTCTCGATGTCTCCCTGACTCTTAAATGTCTCGGAGAATCTCTTCCCCGCCGCACACATGCAAGCGACGTGTCACCAGAGCGGGGTCATGAATTTTTCAGAGGATGTTGCGTTTAAAAATTTAATACTGCCCGAGTGCATGGCTCAATATGCAAATATAAGCATATTAAGCCATGCACATTATTATTGTAAAACATGAAAGAGCATCCACCTGCTGCATGACCATTTTTAAAGGGGCTAGCTGCACATTTGCATCTGCACCTTCTAGAGGAGCTGAAAAAAATCGATTCAAGTCTGAATCGGGATTCTTATTTATAAAGATTCAGAATTGATTCACAAAGGTTCAGAATCGATTCCAAGAACTCAAATATTCATGTTACAGGTTTGAGATGCACTTTTTTGATCTTTGTTAGGAGAGTCAGAACTTCGTTTACTTCTGTGGTCCCATAAATTGAGATGATTTATGTTTGAATCTGCTGATGAGAGGGCACTTGAATGTAATTTTTTCCATACTCAGAAATTTGAGATATTCTCATATTTATTTTCTAAGTTGATAAATGAGTACTCAGGATTACTCATGTAACTTGTTTCTACATATACTTGAAAAGTATTTGACCGTATTACTTTCAAAGCTACTGTTAGGTAACTACAGATTTGTTATATTTTACAAGGTAAGCAAAAATAAATGTTGCCTTTTGGTCAAAAGATTGTTTCTGTTTACAGTTTTAGAATCACTTTAGTTTACATTGTAAATTAGCATTTTTGGAGCATGACCAGTTTAAAGTCAAATAAAAATGTCCCATAGCTTTAACTAACTTGTACAACAAAGTAGTTCATCCTGGAGCTGACACTCTTTGTTAATACTGATTGTGAATCGATTTAAATTGAGAATCGAGAATCGATTCTGAATCGGCACCCCAAGAATCGGAATCGAATCAAATCGAGAGTTGCTCTAAGATTCACATCCCTAATACCTTCATCAAGAAGATTATTGCAAAATGTTGGAAAATGAAGTTTATATTGAGCTAAACAAGTCGGAGTCCAGAATTACACATTTAAAAAAGCTGCTATGACTTCTGGTCTGCAGCCTAACTAACACAGGAACCTAATTTTAGTAATTAGCCCATATTTAAATAAAAAATGACAGCTTGAATGACTGGAAGTGATGAAATTTAGCTGAAAAAGGAACCGGCGGGCATTCTTGTACCAAATGTCACCATAACAGCACCATATGATTCCATAAAGTATTGACGATAGCTCCGAGGAGGGGAAGGAGGAGGCTTCACAGATCCTCGAGCAGATCAATGTGAGCCAGCCGATCACCGGAAAGCGGCACAGGGATTTGGATTGGGATGCAAATGACCTACATGCAAAATTCACTCTATCCTGCATCTGTGATGTCACAGCCTTCACACCGATTTATTTTTTATGTTTGTCATTAATTAAAAAAAGACTAATTGTGAAAATCTGGAAGGGCTGCAACAGAATGCTGATCCTTCACTTTAATTATTCACTAACTGAAAAAGCCATCTGTGCTTTTTTTATGCTAAGGCTGCCAAAAGTCAATAAAACAATCTGTGAATTAAATACCTACACAGTTTCTTCAATTAGAATGATTTTGACATCACTTCTTTTATTTTAGATGTGATTTAGAAAAGTACTATCACACAAAAATGAAATCTTAAGTTGTTGGATGGCCTGGAAAGTCTTATTCAGTTTTTCATATTTATAGTAAAAAAAAGAAAGAAAAAGAAACAGTTAAGGAAAAAATATGGAGTTTGTTAAATATGACAGCAGTTCACGTTGAAGAAAAGTAATAAATAAAATTGTTCTAATTTAATAGACTATTGCTTCATTACATTTTGTTTTGCTAAGAATGTTAAAATATTTTAGAAATTTGGTTTGATCTCCATTCTAAAACACAATTTGACCCGTTTTAATACAATCTAAGTAAATAAACGGACAATCTACCGAATATTTAGCTAAAAAATTATGTTGGTGATCCGTTTGGGCATCCACTTTTCTGTAATATGTTGATTTAAATGTATTGTGTGTTGCTCTATGATATCTGAATAAAACCAGATGATAGATTATCTTTGATAACACGCTGATTGCTGTGCATGTTTACAGCACCTGACACCGTAGGAAAAATAAACACCAGGGAGCACATGATCAAATGACACTTTAAACACAAGACTGACTGTGGTGAAACGGGGAAGCCGTGGAAAAGGAAGTTAGTAACCCACAAAATGTTCGGTTCTTTAACACTAAAGTTTCTGAGGGGTTAGGAGTTCACCCTGTAACCGGTGGGTTGTCGTTGGGGTCCCTGGCTAAAGAAAAGCGCTATATTGTTTATGGCTTATTCGGGTTCAACCCTAACATATTCAAGGTGAAAATATAAACATTCTTAGGTTATAACTATGTAACTTATTGAGACGGTAAAGAAAGTCTAGCAGATTAAAGCTAACCTGCTGCTGCAGTCTGAGTCACAGCTAGCTACTTTAGCATCAAGGCTAATCACATACAACTGTACATTAACAGGTCCTATTACTAAATGCTAATAAAGAGGTGGCGAAGAAATTAAGATCAAACAAACAAAAGAGAGAACGAGAGCTTGAATTGTTCTAGCAACCTGAACACAAAAGTTAAACAGAGCCCAGCCAGAACCAGACTTTATCACTTCATATTGTTTCTGTAGAAAGCTAACGAAACAGCAGCTAACAGACTTAGCATTGAGCGTTACCTGAAACGGGTTATCCGCATCCGAGAACGGGTTGCTGTCGAAATCAGACATTCTCCTAAAGAGACGATTTGATTCCGTTAATTGAGTCCCAGGCTGATGGTTATGGCCCGAATAAGCGGCAAACACCTGATAAGTAAACTCGTTTTGAGAAAACGCAGGAAATGACAAGTCTGAGGTGTTCACCGTTTCCAGAAACAGTATCCGGGAGGCGGATTGGTCGCCAGCAGTAGGTCAAGTGTGACGATACAAAACGTCATACGGAAATACAAACTTTTTTTTTGTGCACAAAATATTTTTTTTTTGCACGAAATATAATGTACAACAATTATGGCAATCTCTACAAAGAATCAGTTTTACCAACATGAGATAGTACCAGAACAGGCTGAATTCCAACATATAGAAGAAGGATAATGAACAGGAATTACAAACAACAACAAATAAATAAATAAAATAAAAACAAACCCCAAACAGAACAAATAAGCAAACAAATGAACAAAAAGACAGATAATTAATTAAAAAGAAAAACAAAAAAATTATACCTTAGGGGCTTTCTAACAGATTTAGTTCAACAATCATATGATTCAAATTCAGAGCTTGTTTTTGTCCATAAATTTACCAGATGAGAAAAGGAGGCAGAGTTCTTTGTGAAAAGTAAAAAAGACAGCTTTGTTTTCAGAAAACGACATTTGTGAATGAAGAATTTGCCCATAATAATTATTACATTTAAAACATTTTCAAGCTTCTTTTCTTTTCTTAGAGAACCAAACATAATATCATTTTTAGAAAATTCAAGTAAGTTTGGGATCTTAGGGAAGAGCCAGTAGTGCACATCGTTCCACAGGGCTTTACAGAATATACAGTCATAAAATAAATGTTCTGTTGATTCAATATCCCCATTACAAAAAGAGCAACAATTATCATCAATAGCGAAGCAACGTCTGAGAAATTCTTTGGAAGGAAATACAAACTAACGATAGTAGAAGACGCAGTTTTTGGTTACAATTTTTGTGTTATTAAAATAAGATACGAAAAATTAGATGTGGAAACCCTGGTATAACGGTCTTTCTTTTTTAGATTAGGGAGTTACTATAATTTAAACTTTATTTTCACACTACAGTCATTATTGTCTCTAAATTTGTTTTAATGAATATCTAGTCTCTTTTAGCGTAGCATATGTGTTTATTTCCTTTCATCTTATCAGTACAACAGTATAAAGCGCCGTGGAGTCCTTACTCTGAGAGGCGCTATACAAGTGCGGATCATTTATCATTTACGTTTTTTTTCTACTTGTTTGAATTTGACTATAATACTTGACTTGACATGGCTGGTAGCTGCCAGCAATCTTGCTTACTTTTGTTCAGAAACATTTATTTTAGAAAATTGATAAAAACATATTAAGTATCAAACTATTATCTGATATTTTTTTAGTTTCTGTGTTCACTGTGTTTATTTATTCATTATTTACTCCGTCTGTTTTACTAGCTTTTCGACTTGTGCAACATTGTTTTCTCACTTTCTACTCTGAGGAAAACCATCCACAACTTCTAAATGAGACATCAGTTCAGACCACAGTTGTTTTGGTGGATATGAAATAGAAAATATTTCTCTAGTTTGTGATAGAGGTTGGACATACCACAGAATTATTTTATAGGTGTGAAAAAATGTTTCTGTTATTCTGTAAATATGTTCATTTTAGTCATGTAAAACACTGTTCACTTTTAAAATGAGTGTTTGCACTTTAGAATGTTTTTCTACAACTAAAGAAGAAAAAATGTATTCTGTGAATTATACATTTTAATGATAAAACAAAACTGTTGAATACACAGGCATATTTATGATGGTCATATTTCCTATTTCATGTTTTTAATGAAACTATTAAATACTACTACTACTACTACTACTAATAATTCATTTTATTAATAAGTGCCTTTCATGGCACTCAAAGTCGCCTTACAGTAAGATAAGACAGAAAATAGCATGATAAAACAAAGTAACACGACTTAAATTAAATCAATAAAACATTTAAAAAGCAATAAAACAGATAACAAATGACAAATAACAAATACTGAAGTGGCCGAAACACCCAATGAGGTCGGGGCACACAACTGAAGATGTGTCGCGTCGGTTTCACCACGAAATCTATGGCAAAGTTCACTCCACCAAGTTTTATTCAATTGTTGTGCTGAAAGGGATCTTTAACAACTAGTCTTAGGAAAATTCTACCAACGTTTTCTTCTAAACTTCAGTTTTAAATTTAGCTGCATCATTCCTTAAACTGTGAGTTTTAGTGTCAAAGTTAAGATATGTCACATCTTAGAATTGTTTTGGTTGCACTTTTTTTTCCAAATCTGATTTACAATTTTACAATGTTTCATTCTGACTTAGCAGATTTGACTCTTGAGGCGTTATTGATCACCTAATTGTTCACTTGTATCTAAAGACCTTAATTTTTAACTTGGAATATAAATTTTATTTCAGTGCCAAAATGTATATTTAAAGGACAGCTATCATATGATTTAGTATTTTCATCAATCAAATTTTTATGTTATGCATTTTTCTTATTCATATTTTTACAAACTGCTTTGCGTGTTTGACTATTAGTCCTGATTCAGTCCTGTTGCTGTCTTCACAAAAAACTATGGAAATATAACCCCTTTTTTAATGGTGAGCAACAGAATTTTTTTATTATTAATTTATTTATGTATTTATTTATTTATGACTCGTTAATTGTATACATTCACGTCTTTAACAAATAAGACGGATTTACGGTTTGAGTGAACATTAACATGATTTAATAACACTGGTCTTTCCTTGAGGGGCCAGCAATTTTCTAGGGATAGCCATGGCCACCCCTGGCCACCCCTTGGGGGCGCCACTGGCGCACGCGCTTCTCTGCCTCTGTGTTATATTTATTTAGTCCAGGCTCTGCAATGTTCCACAATTTAATAACTTTGGCTCTGAAAAAAAATTGTTTTTAAACAGCTCTCACATTATTTTCCGAAAGCTGATGAAAAATATAACTATTTTTAGTGGGCCTAATCCTCTTCAGCAGATATTGGTAAATGTGTCGTTTTTAAAGGCCTATAATCTGGACCTTTTGTAAATGGCATAGATATGTATATCAACACGATCAACAATCATGTATGTATATATATATACCTATGGTAAAGGGGTGCTCACCCAATCTGGTTGTTCTATATCTATGCTCGGGCTGCCGCTGGAGCTCAGTCATGTGACACCGACTTGTCCAACTCACACTTCCGCTTCTGCGTGTAAAAAGTTGGGCAAAATCTGGAAGAAGTTTAGCTCTGCTGGAACTTTGAACGCAGCGTTATACTAACATATGAGGAGATTGTTGCTAACAAGAGAAATAGATAACGTTTTGTTCACGGGAGGTAGTTTATCAGCGTAGCCATGTCGACGGGAGCCTTGTACAACGACCAGGGCAGCGCGGAGGCTGCGGCGGAAGCGGGACAGGAGACCACCCCGACCTCCTCCGGTTCCGGAGCTGCCTTCGGGCTTTTCAGCACAGACTTCAAAAAGTAAGTCGATCTGACGTGTTTTCTGACCACAACCGAAGCTCTGTATTAAGAACACGGCTATTTTCAGTTTTATTGGACTGCTTTGCTAAAAGAGGCCAGCATCAAGGCAGCACGGTTAGCCGTTGGTGCTCAGCGTCAACACAGAGCCTTAAACTGGATAATTGTCGATCCCAGGTGACTTTAAAGGATAAAAACACCCGAATTCAGCAATAAAACGACCTAACCCCCCCCTCTAACTTTAATGAGCTGATTAACAAAACGACAATCAATACGTTTAGTGTCCTTTTAGAGCTTGTTTTGCAAGTCTCTTCATTTGTTAGGCTTTCTGCCCTTGTTTGTGTCATTGTGGTTTAACTGTGCTGAACACTGGCACATTTTTGTCACATCTGAACGG